ACGTTTATTAGGTTCCTTAGTGTGGCAAATATATTGCATATTTTACGAAATATTGTCAATTTAGACTGCGGTAACTGAAATACCGTTATTGAAATGTTTTTGAAAGCTTTCAGCGAAAGTAATGTAGTATCCTATATTTTAAACCCATCTATTCGTAGACGGCTACAGTTGAGATGGAAACATAATAAAAAAAAAGGATTTGGAGTAGACACACGAACGTTATATAATGATTTTAAATTATCTTTACACACGAACGTATTGAAAGTTTTACGTTTTAGTGACATTCTCGCGTGATGTGCTCTATCGCAAGACTTAAAGTGATTGTGGTTGGAGACATATGAGAAAAACATAACCTATTTATTATATTGAAATATTATTGATGATCATCATTCAACACTAATCTTAAGTCATAAACTATGTTGCGATTTGATTTTTTTGTAAACATAAACTTTGTGCTAATATTATAAATATACTGAGCGAACAACACATATTATATGATTTATTTATTTTTATTACGTTGGTGCCCAAAATAAAATAATAATTTTATATTACTATTTTTTTCGTTACACGATCAACTACATTTACACATTTAATATATTTTCTTCTATACTTCTCACCAATTTTCTTAAGTATACGCATTATGGTCAACTAACTCCAAGTCAAATCTCTAAGCCAAATTTAATCGGGCAACATCGGTTCATGAAAACTTCTTTAGTCTGTGTTCTTAAAAATTTCAACTAACTTTTTTACTAGAAACTTTTGGCATTCATTTTCGCTAAAACGTAGTTTAACGAAATCATATACTCGTCAATCCAATATAATAAGGATAATATACAATATGCTAATCGTATCAATCTTAGTCTGTGGTAACAATGTTATTATCATATAAATACGTTCAGTCAATCATTCATTTCATTATTAATAGTTATGTGTTATGACTTTTATTTCTGTACAATTCTCAGTTTCTGCGATCACAATGTACAATATAATATGTCGTTTATAAAATGACATAACCTATCATTACCTATATTATGTATTTATTAAGCTTTTAAGTAATAAATATTCCTACTACAATAATATTTAGTCAGATATAGGAACCATAATTATTAATTATTAATTAAAAATTTACAATTCTAAAATCCAGTATATCAAATATATTATATACATATTATTTTATTTAGTATGAAAGCCATTTTGTAATGATTGATTACGAATGTAAGGTTTACCAAAATATGATCCTCAATATCTAAGTTAAGCATAATTATTGGACTTATGATATCATTATATTTTTAACTTTAATACTTAATATATTATTTATTTTTATAATTAATTATATTTGTTTTAGAAAATTTCGTAAGCATACAAAAGAGGATTTGTATAAATACAGTTATTTTTAAATTTTTATAAAAAAAATATTATTTTATTACTAACATTATTATTATTATTGAGTATCAATTTAAAAAATGAGTAATTCAACCATATCAACCATAGCTGTTTGTTGCTATATAAATATTTATTTAATAAAATGTTAATTAAAGTGTATACAAATCACTTTTTTTAATAAGTTATATAATATTAATCAGTAAATTTCATTTTGAACGAATATTATTTTTTCTAAATAAAACTTCAAATACTTAACGAACAACTAAACAATTTTAAATGAACCATAAAAAAAAATAATAATAAATACAATTACTTTTTTTTAAATTTTTTATAATATTTAATAAAAAAAAAAAAAAAAAATCATTATTCAATGATCCCATTAACATTTTATTTTTCCAATTATAAAAATGAACCTGTAAAGTATTCAATGCATAGTTATAACTTATTATTCATATAATCTGAGAATTAATTTATGTATTTATATATGTTCAATAAAACAATAAAAACTAAATATCATTTTTAGTTTTATAAAAATGTATAAAAGATATCATAGACTTTGCTTTTAATTTTGATAAAATATGGCTTATGAGCAGGTTTTGAAGTTTTGTTCTTATTTGCCGATTAATTAATTTCAATAATTATATAAAGTTTTATGAAATCGTTCTAATTTGAACTTTGAAAATTAGGCCTTCAAAACCAGCTGGATGAATAAATAATAAAATACAATAATCATTGAATAATAAGAAGTTTTGATTTTAACGCATAAATTAGGATATTGTCTTATATTATAACCTTATTGTAACTATACACAAGTACATATTTTTTGTAATTATTCAATCTCGTATGACACAATAAAATTATATCAATTATTATTTATTTTTTACTATTATCATTTATAAACCTTATTTTTTTTGTTTTTGTTTTTTATTTTTTTTTTTTTGCTTTTTAGCTAATTATTAATTCAGTATATTATTTCAGTAGTCAGTATAATGTGATTCCAGTACATGGTGAATGGTGATTCTATCATCAAATCAACTTGAACGTTATTTGAAAAAAAAATGCAATTTCATTTAATTTAATAATAAATTTTAATGCAAATTTCTGTTTTTGTAGTAAACATTTTCCGTAGTATTTGGATACGGGTTAAATTTAATATTCACTATAGACTCGCCCATTTTTATTGCATTTATAACGATAACATAAATTAAATATAATAATACTCTATTTCTAGTTTAAACGAATTTTCAATTTTGAAAAATGTATATACATTTTAAGTATAGAATAAAATGCTAAAATGTTTAGAAAATTATTGAATAATTCAGCCTTCGAAACAATTTTAAATACTATTTTCAAATTTATACATCAACTTGTGAATAAAACTATTTCATTATAATAATTAAAACTATGTCTTGAGATTTTTAAACTTGTTAAACGTATATATACATAAATAACAATGTATAAAATAAAATAAAATTATAGTACTAACATATTACTAAGCTTTAAGCTTACTACAATCCATATAAAATACTAATTTAATATAATTTTATTATTATTATTATTATTATTATTATTATTATATTTTGGCGATACAGGTCTAACTCAAGTATTTTCACATAACTTGGCGACTTTATACGTAAATTTTAAATCGTTATTATTTAAAAAAATAAATACTTTTACACAGTCCAATTGCTCATATTTTATGATCAATTTAAGTATATCTTTGAATACGATTTTTTTCTACATGATTGTATAAAAAGCTACACAGTTAGCGAAACCGATAACATGAATTTAATAGAGAATTTATAATAATATTATATGATTAAAAGGTCATATAGCAAAATAAACTACATCATGTGGTATTATGAAATTAAAAATAAAAACGCGCTAATTAAACGGTAATAATTAAATATCATGATTATTTATTTTCGTTAATATGTTATAACTATATGCGAGTTTCAATAAATACACTCAATACCAATACGAATTATTACTTTTTTCAATAACCATACACATTGAATAAAATAAACAATTCAACAGTGCCGTTCATATATATATAGTGATAAAAGACGTAAGGTGGTAGAAGTGAAAGCCATTTGGGTGAACCGACATCAATTAGATAGGTTCACATTTTTTTGTTTTTTCACACCCATAATCTTTGTCTGTCCGTCAGTTATAATTTATGTTGCATACGTTTTTCATCAACTCCGCTACTATCTTGTACACCTCGTCTGAGCTTCTCGTAAACCTTCCGGTAAAGCCGTTAAAAGCATTAGGAAGAAAAAAAAAGTACCATTTTATCGTAAGCTGTTGTTCGTATAGTATTTTACCATAAACGACTGAACAATATTCTTGAACCAACTCGTGAGTGCGTTTTTCAATTAACTCGACTTAAAAGAAAAAAAAAAAGAAAGAAAAACGAAACAACGACGGAAAAGTCGACAGGGGAAAATTCTGATTTACCAAAAAGTATATCAATATCATGTATAGGTACACAGTAAATAAGTATATAGTAGCAAATTAATAACGTCCGTTCGGTATGCGACGACGTCGGAGAGATACAGCCAAAATACAAAATAATAATTTGTAAGTAGCAATCGATGAAAAAAAAAAAATGAAATAAAATTCATCGAAATTTCTGCAGGTCTTTTAACGTTATATTTTAATTCAAACAGTTCAAAGAATTAATTATAAATCGCGTTTAAAGAAGGAGATAGATGAAATCGTTTTGAATTTCTTTGCCCCGTGTGCCACAAGAACTATACCACTACACTTCATCGTCGGCCATCGTATAATGATAATACAACGTAATTTTGTTAGAAACTCTCGAGCACTTTCAAAACACCACGCTCGCTTTGAGCATATACGCGTGTACATACGCCACTTAAAATTTGTTCTCTGGGATGTTTGTATTATATTTAATAAGTCAAAATAAGCAAAGAACAATCGCATACGAGTGGAACTCGAGCGCAACATTATTATTAACATAATACATAATATAACACGTAATCAATAATTCTTATTACGATACGTCTTAATATGCAGAGATTAAATCTCGTATTATTATTATTATTATTATTGTTGTTGTATAATAAATTAACGAAATATTCGTTTACGCATAGGTGTAACCTGGCCGAGTCACAATGACCATGTCACGTTTCTCGAAAATCGTAAGTTAGCTTAGAATCGCCACAAAATACAACGTAATACATCACTCGCAGTTTTCTGAACGCCAGAATCGTACGTGATAAACTAAACAATTATTTCACATTTCACCACCACAATAGTTTTTGATTTTTTTATCAACATTTTTACACATTTTTATGACAACATACAGTTTTTAGTTTCGATAACATGACATAGCCTCAAATGGAACAACTAAAGGAGAGGGTTGGAAACTCGGGATTTAGAAATGTCAATCGCCCGGAAACCTCGATACTAATTAATTGAGAAACCCAGTGAGTATTTTCAATTTTGGTCCGGTCATTGGATCAAATTTAAAAAGACGAAAATATAATTTTCTTATTTAGCAAGGTTCCTGGCACTTTAAAGTGCCGTTGATCAGTTTTTACACAGAACGTTACGGGCAATTCACATCAACAGTACAACGCGTTTATACATAACGTACGATTAATTTATAATATATTGTATTCGTTATAATTTAAAATATTATTTTGTTTGGTCGTGGTTGGTATTAGTGGTTTCGTGGTGTTTTCAATGGGCATTACGTTTTCGAAAGGCATCGCGCCCACAACCTTGGGTTCTGTGATTTTCCCGTTCAAAGACGACTCGAGTTTTTTCTTCAAAACTCGTTTGACTCTCTTTGCCGGCCTGGAAAATCATGATAAAAAAAAAAAAAAAATGTTTTAATTGAATTCAATTGATTCACGCACGTTTAAATTATTATTTGAAACAGTATATTTACTGCTTCTTAGCTGGCGTAGTCGGATTTGTTCCTTCCAACCCGTGCAACGTCGCTGTGGCTCTCGGCATCGCAATAGCCGTCGCTGTTGGTTTTGTCGTCGTAGGAATCGCCTTCAGAACACGTTTCACCAGTTTCTTCTTCTTCGGTTCGGTTCTATCGATGATCGAAGAATTCGGATCTTTCGTCACCGGGTTCTTCTTGATAGGCCGAGACGGCTTTTGACTTTTGACGGTCGGTGTTCGTTTGGTGGTCACAGCCAACACTTTTTGCGCTGAAGACTTTTTCGTGATCGATTGTGTAATTGATTTTTTAACGGGCTCTTTGATAGCACGCAGCAATTTTTGTTGTATTTGCGGTTGCATTTTCGGTAGCACTTTGGATTGCGCTTTTGCTTGCATTTTCGGTTTTGAATACACTAGATGGGCGTTTTCGACAGTCGTTGATAATTGTCCAATCACGTTCATTTGTTTTTTGACAATTTTTCGATGGATTTTCTTAGACGCGGTTCCTTTACCGTTTTTAGACTTTTCCTTGTCGACCGACTCCAGTTTCACATTAGATAATTTATTCATTTTACGGTTTTAAAAATGTATTAAAAAAATCGTTTGTCCTAGTCTGTGTTTAAAATTCGTTTATTATAATTCACTCGAAGAAGTATTTATCGTAGTTATGCGTTGTTATCACGCCATTAGCAACGGTGAGTAGCCAACTAGACGAATATAACGTTTTATTTTTATTTTGTCTCCTAGAACAATATACCAGTAATTCCTAAATTTACTCTTTCAATAATGAATACATCTTAATGATTACAAGATAATATTATGTAATAATATAATATTAACATTAACAATTTAATTAATATAAATAAGTATATAAAATACTAATTATCCATAATACACTACACGCGTAATAAAAATATACTTACGTAAAATAAGCACATTGGAATTTGTGGAATTTGAAAGTATTCATACATTATATTTTCGGAAACTTATATTAGATTTGAGCGTAATGATGAATGTATTGATTTTACAATTATGTGTGTTTTTTTTTTATTTTTGTGTCTGTAAACACTTTTTATAATAAAAAAATGTTTGCAGAATCATCAACTTTTATGAAGGTTTTTTATAGAAAATTCTATCTGGTTGGCACTTTTTGGAAGTCGAAATTTAGAATAATCGTGAAAAACCAAAAGAAAGAATACGATAATTTATTAAAATTCAATATTATTATTAAAATAACTGTTTAGTAAAACCACTTTCGTTCAGAAACAATTTTCATCGTACGCGATGATTTATCAATGAATTCAAATTTAACACGTCATCCATTATTACAGTGCCTACCCAATGACGATGTACATTCGACTTCTACTGTGTAGCAGAGCGGTACCTACACTTTCCCACTTTTTTAAATTTAAATTTATAGGCATCGTATTTTGTTAATTTAATATTAGCAAACATCGGCCCGGGAATAAAATGATAATTTAATGTTCAAGTGTTTATAATAGTAATGTACTATGCAAATTTACATAGTATAAAACTATAAAACATATCCATTTTACACTTTTACGCATTGTATTATTATCATAGTCTACATACAACACTCATGATACACCTATATACGCTCGACTCTCGATGTTATATTTTTACCTAAATGCGTTGCGTTGTGTATCTGATGTAGATAATACTGCATTTAAATGTATTCTGGCAACGATATATGGTACGGGAAATTAACATATTTGTAAAAATATACCCATATAGGTGCATAATATATACCACACGATAAAACGTTTACTGCTTATCTTTTAATTCGTCGTCCTCTGTACTATTATATAGGTACGCTTTAACTACCTTACCGATCTTCCAAAGAAATCGTGTACTGCAAACATGCGAAAAATAATAATTCAATTAAATGGAGACAAAATAGATGAACGGTGGCTTGTAAATATTAAAAAATAAACATATACTCAAAATCGATTTATTGTAACTTGTTTTTGAATAGACTTTTTTTTGTTTTTTACAACTTTATTTAATATAATATTAGGTAATATAATTTACTGATGTCAACGTCAATTTTCAGTACACTACAGGACACAAGTAATCGAATTCAATATTTTATTAACAACCTAGATACTATGAAAATAGATATTTTATATACATACAAATTAAATAATCTGTGTGACGCGCCAGGCACCTTGTGATGGCTGCTGCTCGTGATTAGTGTAATATTTAAATTTCGGCTATCCAATACCATCAATAAATACATCATGATTTGGGTAGTATCATCTTCATGTATGCTATTACAATCAAAGCTTATCCTTTACCTCCTACGTGTTAAATTAAATAATACATTTCTATTAAAAATGGTAAAATAAAGGAATCTGCGGAATAGACGTTTTTGAGAGGAGTAAATATTTTTCCATTAAACATATTATAGGTATCTATTTAATAATATATAAATTTTAAAATAACACATGCGTAAATCTTTGATGAGAATAATCTCGGGAACCACTTATGTGATTATTTTTTAAACGCAAGAACATACTATGGAGCAGGTTATGAACATAGCTTTATGGATCCAATTACTGACCACAGAATATTGAGCAATAAAACAGGAATATAAAATATTAGTGACGCCTTTTGTCTAGAAAAATAAAATTTTAATTAACTTTTTTAAGGCGAAGTCGAGCTTATTACTACTAGAAGATTTCAATATTATATTTAGTTAAATTTGTTAAATTAATTTTGATATGAATAAATTAACGATTTGCCACTAATGTGATAGCCGATAGGTAGACTAAAACCGAGATACAACGGTGTAGCATCATGTATCAGTTTATTCTTTGTTGGCAAAATTCAGATTATTTAGTCAAAAAAAAACTTTAAATATATTTTTGATTCTATGAGTTAATTAACAATGGAATTAAAAAATATCAATTTTTAAAATAAAAAGCATATAAAGGTATGTAAAAGAAACGACGAGTATTAAACAATCAATTGAATTAAATTTTTATCACACAAGAGACGTAAATAATGTAATAATGCACAATGGAGTACATGAGTAGAGTTAATAATATATATATTATATATACATATATATGTATATTAGTAACTGAAATCCAACACTTTACACATAGATTTTAAAGTGAAAAGCAACTACAAACGTTTAAAATGTCCTTTGTTAATTATTATGTTACAAACTATGATATTATATTATGAATAACAGGTAGATATAGCACGTTTACGCGCAGACAGCACATTTCTACACCATTATTACAATTATTAATATTTTATACTATAAAATTCAACACTATTACTTGCCTTTATAAAGTCGTAATGTTACTCAACTAAAAAATAAGTGTCTATTTTTTATCGTTCAGTGTTTGATCCGATGGTACTGTTCAAATGTACGAGTAATTAACTGATATTGTGCAATTATTATAATATTATTACCTATTTGAATGCGATTACGAATAGATAAATACAATTTTGATACACTCAACTGATTCCTGTTAAACTGACGAGTATGACGTCTACTTAAATACTTAATTTATTTGTTTTTGTATAAATTTTTAAGGTTTTATATACCTATACGACCAATAGTCTACTACAGCGTTTCTCAATCTACGGTACGCAGAAAACTCTAAGTTGATACGTGAATGAAAAATAAATATTTATCATAAAATAAAATATTATTATTATATACATAAAATATTGTTTCGTTTATTTGATTACTAAACTAAATAACTGGTTTTACTTACATTAAAGATAGAAATTTAAATAAACGATAATTTCTATTATGTTGTAATGCTTGGTTGGTATATGTTTTAACATATTGTACATACTTAATTTTACTTTTGTTCAATAAATGTTAATATTCTATATATTTTTTTATAAGCAAAATGAAAATATAGAGTTTTCTAAATTAAGTGGAACGTGAACAATTTCAAGATGTGTAGGTGGTACTCGGACGTTAAAAGGTTGAGAATCGTTGGTCTATTACATTCGGTATGCATTCGTCGCTTATGAATTTATGATGTATTATTTTGTCTATTTAAGACGCTGTTATTATTTTATTGATTGATGCAATACAAAACGTATAACTATACACAATATACATATTATAACTTTTGTTTATTATAGATTCGTAATTGAATTATTGATTGACATTTCGCATTATCAGTATACGGTTCACGTGACCACATATTATGATCGACTACAATGTTTGCCAACGAGAATCATTGTTTGAGCTAGTCAAACAGTCTGTAACAAATAATCGTATGCGAATTATAATGTAATATGTTGTTTGCGTACTGACGATTATTGCGCTACGATGTTCATACAATTACGATACGAAATGTCGACAGAAAACATATGGCATAACATAGAGAGTGATTTTTCGATTAGTAGGTAATTTTAATTGTTCAGATTTCGAAATCGGCGATGACAGGGTTTTTAGTAAGCACGCGACAGGAGCGTACCGTGATTTTATAAATCAATGCAAAATGAGCTAGAGGACTTCACTACTTACCCCATCAATCATATTATCCAAAAATGTTGTTTCCACTATGTAAAAAACAAATATAAATATAATACGTGGATGTACACAATTTAACTTGATATTCTTGTGGTCACTTTTTTATTTATGAACGAGTATAGAAATAATAAAGTGAGGTCAAAACAATGTAAAAGCCGATTTTTTTATTTTAGACATTTTAATATTTAATGTACACTATAAATTATATTTTAGATAATCCCAATAGAATAAAATATAACCATAGATAACAAGAATAAAATTAGGTAGATATTTAACAAAACTCGAAGAACAAGTTAGATATTCAGATATCAGAAATGAAATAATAACAACAATCAACATTATTATTATTTATTATGTATCGATAAGATAACATTGTCTTATCACAAGTATATTATTATCGTAGGTTTTTTTTCTAAATCTGTAGTTACTGGTTTTGTATCAAAGTTATCTTTAATAAAATTTAAAAAAGAAAATTATGTTTATTTATAATAGATTTCAATCAATCTTCTTTTTATTATTACTTTTCTCCAACTTTCACTCCCAACTATATGCAGTCGGACCACCCTATTCCTATAACTCCATAGGGCCCTATTCCCCACCCGTTCTTTACTCCTGCCATCTATTATCGTGCCGTTCCCTAAGCGATCGTATGATGATTTTATCATAGTGATATGGAAGATGATCTATATTTGCGATAACCTTTGTTAGAACTTAAAACTCACCAAATTTATCATAAAGCGTTAGTTTTCGATATAAAATATTCCTCATCATAGCAAAACCGATACCAGTTGTGTATGCCTTTTCATGTTAATTGTATACGCGTGTGGCGTGCACCGGACACAAAGGTCCGTTCATTGTTGTTCCGAATCGAATGCAAATTGCATTATTTCAAAATGTCAACAATCCAAAGGAAGTTAATTTATAGAATACAATAAAATACATCGTTTTGTGGGGGTGATGAAAGAGAATACAACAACATGGACTGTTTCTGCTCTATTAAATACCACAGTATAAATTGACCACTTTTGTGCATCGTCCGCCGCCATGCTTAAATAAAACCGTATTAGGGTCCAGCAAATGGAAAACGTAATACTTAAGTAATATACTTTGTGGAAATGGTTGTTTAAAATTCAATGACAAGACAAATCTAATTTAAATGCAAGATAAATGTACTAAACCCTGATTTGGTATTTCTAAAGAAAAAAAAACTACACATTCTCTGATACTTTAAATGAGTACATATTTTCTATTCAACTTTATTATTTGATTCAATGAGCCCATAAATGTCATTCACTTCGTTTCGATGTATAGCTAATACTTATATTGTACTAGGTATGAACCTAATAAAAAATAACAACATAAACGAGTACGCGCCGTATACAACTATGCTTAAATATGAAATCCAAGGCATATAAAACAAAAGTATACGATGTGCTCTGTGCCCGTAAAATAACGATCTCGATACTATACTACGTTACACGGCGTACACGGGCTCATTTTAATTCTCTGAGTAATTTTTTATATTTTCATGAATTCGTATACAGTTTTCAATATTAATTATTATTAATATATTTTATCATGAGGATTTTTTAATTTTTAATGTTTTTTTTACGTTTTTCATTTTACAAC